AACATAGGCCAATCAGCTAACCAGTATTTTCGCCCCTTCCCAAAATTACTTCAACGGAAGGTTTCCAGATGGATATGCGGAGCAAATCCATCTGGTGGAGTCAGGTTAATGAAAGCCCACAGTTAGCCAAATGTTAAAAGGGCAATATTATTGCCATTATTGTTACTATATAGTAGACATTTTACACAGTCAGTAATACAATTTCACAGGGGATGGTATGGAGGGATGGTCATTTAAGAAAGGGGATGATTTTTAAAGATTTTTTTAAGAAAGGGGATGCCATCCCTCCTCAGCTCATGTACTAGTTATATAACACACAGAGTGATGACATTTCTTTGACTTCTTAAAGCATTGCTGGATTTAATTCAGAGGAATTGGACAGTGGGTTTCTAATAACATGTGTATGAAACACCTTTAAGTCTCTTTTTTTAATAAGTTTGTATATCAGACAAAACCCAATAACATATTTGAAATTTGTTTTGCAAAAAGACAAAATGAAAAAAGTGGTCTTATTCATTTCTCCCACCTGTTCATAGAACTCATTGACGATGCCCTCAGTCCACTGTAGATGTAGATCCTTGCACTTCAGAGGCCCGTTGATGTCTGCCAGTTTAATGCACATCTGGCAGACCAGCAACCTGTCGTTCTCATTAGACCAGTCAATGCCTGTTGAAGGATCATCGCCTACCTGAGGAATCAAATGATAGCGGAGTCAGGTTTACACGCATCGGACGCATTCAGGAATGTATTTTAACAGGTTTAAAACATTGTCGTTTAATATGGTTGTGTTCTCCTTTCTAATCTTTACAGATATATAGACATTCCTACTGCAGCTGAGTAAATCAAGGACCAGAGAGCAAAAAAATTCTTAGCAATGTTTTTAAACTATTAAGCTATTTTTATTCACATCTATTTATAATCAAATTTAGCAGGTTTTATTTATTTATGCTCTTTTATTTCAGGTGAATTTAAGGTATTTATTGGTTTTGCAAAAAGTATGTTTTTAATAATGTTGTTATTATCCTTTTGTATTCTTGACCATATTTTAACATAACATATGTGTAACATGTCAGCTGATTACGCTTTTAAGACACTGTAAATTTGTATAGTTTGTTCAGATATATTTATCACCAGTTTCCTTAATTCTCTGTTCAGGTAATACATTATTTTACCCATATTTTTAAATTCTTTGTCCTCTTCTTATTATTATTTATGCATTTCTTTTATATCTGTGAACTTATTTTGATCATTTGATCATTGCTAAACTATTCTTAAATGTAATTTATTCTGTTTAATTATATAAATTGTATCTCAGTCTTGTAAAAGTAAATATTAAACACTCATGAACTCAGATATATTTGAAAATCATTCAGGCTGTCTGTGATGGCCTATTTTGTAAAATACTAAACAAACTAAGGTTTAAAGATAGTATATAATGGTGATTTCTGGTTTATACCAATAACATGTTTATGAAGATACAAAAACATCCTTTTTATCTTTTGATCATGATTGTCAATGCAATGCAACATTTTTTAAAATAATAACAGCAATATAATGTCTTGACAAGATAAAAGAAAGTTTAAAAATCAAAGAAGCGGAAGTTTAAAACTGACTCCTTTTGACTGAAACTGAATCAGATTCCATTAAACTTATTCCATAAGAAGTGTGAATATGAAAACTGCTGCTGACTCTTCTGCACCTTTACAGTTCAAATGCTGCTAGTAAAAAACATCCAACACTCTATTCCTGAAAGGTTGAATTGTACTGGATTGCAATGAATTAAATAGAATTGTTTTTATTGTCCCTCTAAACAAAAAACATACCGTAACTGCAAAAAGTTTTCCAGAAAAATAAGACAATATAACTCTAAGTTATATTCCATAAATAATGTATATCACAGTTTAACTTATTTAATACCTTGGCATTGAACTCAGCAAGGAAGTCAAAGTGCTTCTTGAGGTCTGTGGCCAGTATGGCCTCGATGACCAGAAACCTGAAGCGTTTGAACTCCACATGGTCCAGGTTAACGAGGAAGTTATACTCTGGGTGTGACATGAAGAGGTTCCAGGCAGAAGCGGCGTGGTGGTTTTCCAGAACCGAGCGATCATTGTAGAGCACTGCCTGCAAACAGCCAAAATCTGCATCAGTGTGTACAAATGTACCTACTTGCTATTGAGGTCTCCTTTAGATCCAAATGTCTGGCAAACAAGATTAATTAGCTGGTTCAGAAAGGCATGGCAAATTTATTTATTTGGGAGCCGGTAGAAGGACTTTAGCACTGGGGTGATGTGCTCTACTTTCAGCATGATCCAGCATTCTGGATCAACTGCAGCTGTCTGATTGGCTATTAAGGCAAACATGAAGACACTATCACTCTACTATGAAGACATTAGCCTTTTCCAGCCTTGTGGAGGTGTACAATTTTGTCTGTAGTGTCTTTGGACAGTTATTTGGTCTTGGCCATGTTATTAGTTGGATTCTTACTAATTGTATGGGGTGGAAAGGTGTCTTTATGCAGCTAACGACCTCAAACAGGTGCATCTAATTTAGGATAAAGTGGAAGTGGATAATTTTGAGACTTTTTGAAGGCAGACTAACAGGTTTTTGAAGGTCAGAATTCTAGCTGATGGGCAGATGTTCAAATGCTTATTTGCAGCTGTATCGTACAAATAAATAGTTGAAAAATATTATATTGCGATTTCTTGATTTTTTTTTTTATGCCTCTCTCAGTGGACATGTAGCCTGGGTGCCATTCCGAACTTAGTCCCGCCCACAACGTTTGAGGTCGGGAA